GTTCGAAATGCATTTTTACATGGTGATCTCCTTGAAGAAGTTTATATGAGTCAACCTCCGGGGTTTATGAGCTCTTCTCATCCTTCCAATTATGTGTGCAAACTTCAAAAATCCTTATATGGCCTTAAACAGGCCCCCAGGGCATGGAATGAGAAATTTACGAGTTTCTTACCGGGTTTAGGCTTTAATGCCTCTCTTTCCGATCCTTCTTTGTTTGTTAAGAAGCACCCTACTGGTATTGTGATTTTATTACTCTATGTGGATGATATCATCCTAACTGGCAGCAGTTCTTCTCTTATTTCTGAGGTCGTTTCAGCCTTGACACAAGCATTCGATATGAAGGATTTGGGTAACTTACATTACTTCTTAGGTTTGCAGATTACTTACAAGAGCACAGGCTTGTTTGTTTCTCAAACCAAGTATATTCAGGATCTTCTAGCCAAGGTGGATATGCAAGATGCCAAATCATGTGCTACACCCTGTCTCCCTTATCACAGGTTATCCAAGACCGAAGGCACATTGTATCATAGTCCCGAACAATATCGCAGTATTGTTGGCGCACTGCAATATTTGACCTTTACCAGGCCAGATATTGCATTTGCAGTCAATCAATGCTGTCAATTTATGCACAATCCTCTGGATATTCATGTAGTTGCAGTGAAACGGATTTTACGATATCTCAGTGGCACTCTTGACTTCGGTATTCATTTCAATTCTGGACCACTACATCTTCAAGCTTATAGTGATGCGGATTGGGCCGGGGATCCTAATGATCGACGGTCAACGTCTGGCTATGTTGTTTATCTTGGTAACACTCCTATTTCTTGGGCTTCCAAGAAACAACACACGGTGTCGAGATCGTCTACTGAGGCCGAATACAGAGCACTTGCCATTACTGCTGCAGAGGTCTCTTGGATACGGAAGCTTCTATGTGACCTTCATGTTCCTTTATATGATGCTCCTGTCTTGTTCTGTGATAATATTTCAGCCATAGCATTGTCCTCTAATCCAGTCTTTCATTCCCGAGTAAAGCATATTGAGATAGACTACCATTTTGTCTGGGAGCGTGTTATCCGAGGTGATCTAGCTGTGCAACATGTCTCTTCCAAGGAGCAATTTGCTGACATTCTTACTAAAGGCTTGTCTATATCTTTGTTTCAAGATCATTGTTCCAATCTCATGCTTGGTTCTCATAAGCATGAGATTGAGGGGGGATGTAAAGGTATAAAAACACAGGATCAATCCAATGGCTGATGTGCTACCAGGTGTAAATAGATTAAGCTGATATGTTTGTTAAGTTTGTTATGAGCTAGCTTAGTCTGTAAGGAAAGTGAAGTGTATATATAGCAATAGTTTGTAATGATTCAGTGTGAAATAAACAATATAACAGAAGAAGAATTGTCTCTCTCTCTCTCTCTCTCTCTCTCTCTCTTAGTGTGAAACCTCCATTGTTTAAGCTTAAAGCTTTTCTTCTTACATCATTAACTTGCTAAACTACTAAAAATGACTTCAAACTTACACTAACGAAACAGAGCAGAGCTTCATAAATTGTCTACATAATTTCTAGAGTTAAGCACTGCTGCCAGTAGAAGATTCATCCAAAATACATATTGCTAATCCAAAATTTCAACTTCCAAAGAGGTTCTCCAGCATTACTTGACTTTAACAGACACGACCTTGTAGTAATAGCATTTTAGGCTAGAGCAAATAAACTTCAGCACAAAAAGAAGTATAACCTTGAACCCATAGGTTTCCCGGCCAAAATCAACGGATGACCCGGGTACTTAGCAACCGCCTTTTTGGCAACATCGCCACGAAAATCGACCAACTTTTCAGCCTTTGAAGGAGCCCTCTTTTTCCCACCAGAAATATCTGCCAAGAACACAACTTCAATATTTTACAAATACAATAGAGATAAGATGACCCAATTCCATGAATAACTCAAAGCACCATATATACCGAGAAGAACTCAAAATTTAGCTATAAAAAAAAAAACAAAAAAAAAACACATACACTCACACGGGTAATCGAAGATAACAACTTCTAGAGCATTTAGTGCTTTTTCCAACATCTTCTTCCACCTAAATAAAAACCCACAAAGCTAGAAGCTTCAGGTTTTACTGAACGATTTCTTTCTGATATTTCCAAAAGAAGCAAACGAATTGAAAAAGGGACCTGATCATCCAGTCTGAAGAAGAGGGAGCACCAGCACCATGAGCAAAGACCACCACAGGGGATACTTTCTCCAGTGCGGACGAAGTGCGGACGAAGATGCACCATGAGCAAAGACCACCACGGTGATGAAGCCATTCTTAGTCGAAGAAAACCCCTTCCGAAAATGATTTCAATTTTCAATCTGAGCTCGGAACTGATTTTCGCGCCAAATGGTGAGAAGACCCAACCAGAAGAATGTGCCTCGCGCCACGTGGCACTTGCTTAGACCACCCGCCAAGCGAGTTAAGATCACATTTGGGCTGCGCTTTTTTAAGTGGGTAAATAGGGTTAGGTTTGAGGAAAGCCCAATTTGGTTTTCTGTCCATCAACCCAACTTGGTTAAATCCTAAACGTACCTTGATGGAAAGGATTAGGATCCTTGATTAGTTTTTCTTTGCTAGAATATGCTTGATAATTTCTCCACCTCATTATTTGTTAGTTTGAGGTCAATGAGGTAACCTATTGTTTTCAAATTCTAATAAGTTATAACTAAGTCGCAAATATTTGTGTCATTACTTGTACAATTGGATTATGTCTCAGCTTTTGATATTTCATAAAATGTTAACCATTTATGTGGTTTTAGCCTCTGCATTGTAGTTTTAATATCTTACAATTGGATTCTTTCTCAAATTTTAGCTTCTATTTTGAAGTCATGTGCTTTCAAATTTTGCATTGTAGTTTGCGCTTTATTTAAGTCAAAGCAGTCACATCTAATACTGGATTTAACTATGGTTATTGCGTAAAATTAATTTTGTTAGTAAATTGATTTGAAATTGGGCCTTTTGGAATATGATTTGAATTTTAATAGTTTTAACTTTTAGGCAATGTTTGTTATATTCATGGTCTAAAATATCCATAATATCCCGATATTTTCATCGAAATTTCCGTGTTTTTGGACTACCGATATTTCCGATATCATCGATATTTTAGACCTTGCTAAGTCACTCATGTATCTTACCATGCAATGTATAAAGTGTAAAATATTGTACTAATTCATTATATATAAATGATTATGGTGTGTTTAAACTTCTTTCATTAATTACTACATATTTTCTACACTCACAATGTTTACTAGCTTGCTATATTATCAACTTAAATAAGTTATATCTATCATGCAATTCATTTCCTTCCAATTTTTTGTGATAAACTAGTAGATAATTGACTAAATAAACATCTTGCAAAGTTTCAATAAAAATTTCCAAGTTTTTCTTACAATTTCCATGGTTTTTATTTAATTTTTATCGATATCGATAATATCCTGATATTTCCATCGAAATTTCCGTGTTTTTTTACTATTGATATTTCTAATATCATCGATATTTTATACCTTGGTTACATTAGGGGTTTAGGGTTTTATAATAAGCTAGGTTAGGGGTGGTTGGGGGTTAGGATCACAAGAAATTAAATTTATGCAAAATATGTTCAAGTCGAAAATGAGAAAAGAAAATAAAAATGACTTATAAACCAATAATCATTTTAAAATTGTAACTGATATAATAACTAATAAATTTAAATTGTATTGCAAGATATAAACTGCAATGCAAAGTCTGAAGCAAAAACAACAACAAAATGAGTTGACCTATTCTGAGATAAAACTTTGATAAAGAGGCCAACTTTACAAGTATAAAGTAGTTTGTTATTTTTGTTCGTTCGAGTACATTACAAGACAAGAAAAAACCATTATCTTGTTATCGTGCTGATATATTTACAGTGGCTAAATATCTCTGGCTAAAAGGGATCATTTGGGAATTTAGAGTTTATAGATGATGTGAGAGTGAATGTCATAGCCCGTCCCGAGATTTTCATATCGGGGACGTGAAATGACGGAATTACCCTTGACAGGTATAAAGGTATATGTGTGTGTGACATATCTTTTGGGCTAAATACAATTATTTCATAAGATTTTATAAGAAATTATTAAGTTGGATGAAATGAGTTTGTGAATTGTGTGGTTAGGGATGAAGTTGAATGGATGGTGAGGATTGTGTTGGATCACACACACACACTTCCTTCATCTCTCTTCCTCCCCCGTGTCTCTCTCTCTTCCCTCACGACTCTCTCTCACTCTCTAACCCTCGAACTGTACGGACGAGACCAAATTCCTTCGAACTTCCACGGATCGAAGCTAAAAAGGTATGGTTCTTCATCCTTTCGTCGTCCTGAGTTGAATGGTTCTAGTTTTAGGACGTGAAACCTTCGAAATCACGTGAAACCCGAACCCCAGTTTTATGTCACTATTCATGCAATCATGTTATGTTGATTTCCAGGGAATTCTAAGCTCACAGTGAGCTTAGTGAGGTCCTAAGGAAGCTCGGGGACGTTCGTTTGGAAGTTTTGGACGTCGGGATCGTGTAGTTCGAAGTTGGCCGATTTCTTGGAATTTCTTCGGTGAGATTTCGTGATTTTTAGAGCCTTAAAGTAGTGTAACGTGAAACTACATGTTTAGGGCTTCATTTTGATATAAAATACGAAGAAAATGGCTAAGAAATGACAGAGAACAAGGCGTTTGAAAAATGCCCAGAATCCGACCACCGGAAAAACCAGTTCGGCGACTGGTTGAGGAAGGAGACGCGCGTGGGGGCGCGTAGGTCCATGCCACCCACTGCGCGTGGGGGCGCATGACAAGCCCAAAATTAATTCTAAAAATTTGTCGACGTCCGTGACGTCGAGTAGGTCACTGTGGTATATTCATATACCCAAATTGAGCACCGTATGAGAAGTTATTTCGAATTATCGGTTATGTGCATTAATTAACGTTTTTATAGTTGTTTCGCATATAGGTGACACCTATCCCGAGGACGAGCGCATCTAGGGACGTCACGGGGGTTACGACCCATCGACTTACCAGTGAGTGGGCAGTTTTGTTTTTCGTATTACCTATATACTATTAATTCTCCCAGAACTTTAATTTATATGAAAGTAAGTTTCAATTGCCATGCATGCATAGTATGAATATTACAGGATGATGTTAATGCATATAGATATGTGTGTGAATTGGTGCTGTGGACGCCCAGGTGAGTTTTATGGAAATTATGTGAATCACTGATAATGTGAATTGTGTTGAGACCTCATAATCTGCACCTTGATGTTAGTGCTCATATTATTCACCGCACCGCACGCTCACCTTGGATCCAAGTAGGTGCATGTCGTACAGACCATGTGAGGGTTCCGACATGCTAGTCGTACAGACCACTGAGGTGGTTCCAACTAGTAGGTGACTTTCGATTATATGCGCAGATCATTGATGAGAGGAGCATTAGAGCGTATTATTTTACCATCTTTGTCGTACAGACTGCTATATGTAGTTCCGACTTATGTTCAGCGTGGTGCCGTACAGGTCCCAATTGGTGACTCCGGCAGGGCCATACAGGTCACCGTTGGTGACTCCGGCTGGATGGAATATTAAGCTATGGTATCAGCCGTACAGGACCATTGTGGGGTCTCCGGTTGATTTATTATTTTCACCTGACTTATATTGATGCATTTATATTGTATTTTGGCATGTGGCATGGCATGGCATGGTGTATTCTTGCTGAAAAGCGTTGAAGGATTGTGATTTGAACTTTTGGTGTTATATATAGGACTATATGCTATTTTTCTGGGAAAGTATACAGGTTTTTCGGTGAGGGTTAGACGTGTTTTAAATAAATGTTTTGGAAAGATTTGGTTTTACTGACCCACTCAATTTTGTTTTTGCGCCCCTCCAGGTTCTAGCTAGCAGTTGGCGGCTCACGAGGTTCTTTTCGGCATTCTGACAGACACTCTACATGTAGGACTCACCTGCGGGTGTTGTACTTTAATTATAGTCCTACTTGACTGCACCTAGTACCTTCGCTCTGAATTGTGTGTTTACTTTATAACTCGCTCTAGTATGCTAGTTGAATATTTCTGCTAGTTGTTGGTATTAATCTTTCATAATTCTTATTTCCTTGCTTCTGTATCGCACTTATGGTTACGTCATGCTCACGTGGCGGCCAGCACACCCTGATCCCAGGATCGAGGTGTGTCATTTTGGTATCAGAGCCTAGGTTGCAGTCCTGTATAATTGTTAATGCTCTAATGATCTTTTGATGTTTTCTGTCAGAATTATGCCGCCTCGTAGGGAGTCACGCCGTGCTTCTGAACCTAATTTCCCCGATATAACTCAGTTAGGGGAAGCGATGGCTCAGGCCTTTCAGAATGCAATCCGCCCTCCTCCTCCTCCTCCTCAGAGGACACCCCTGGAGACTATGTATAATCTGAAATTGGATCGTTTCATGGGTAATGAGGGTCATGAAGGGGCTGAAAAATGGCTAGACCATATTGAGATGACTTTTCAGGTGATGCAGAGTCAAGGGAACTTTCCTGGTAATAGATGGGTTGAGACCACTACTTGGTTTTTGGGACGAGAGCCGGCAAGTTGGTGGAAAAATCAAACTCAGTTTATGTCCCCTGAGATGGCAACTGATTGGGAAGTATTTAAGGAGCATTTTAAGAAAAGATTTGTCCCTCCTGAGTACATTGATCGCAAGAAGCAGGAATTCACTCGATTAAAGCAAAAGAATATGTCAGCACATGAGTATTACAGGAAGTTACAGACTTGTCTCGTTATGATCCTGATACAGCTGGTAATCAGGTAGAGATGCTTCGTCGATTTAAGCTGGGAACTAAGAGGAAATGGCGGACTTTTGCTAGTGCACTTCCTTGTAATGATTATCATGAATTTTTCTAGATCTTGGTTCGGATGGAGGATTCCGATAACCTTCCTAGTGACAGTGAGGATGATGTCCTGATACAGCTGGTAATCAGGTAGAGATGCTTCGTCGATTTAAGCTGGGAACTAAGAGGAAATGGCGGACTTTTGCTAGTGCACTTCCTTGTAATGATTATCATGAATTTTTCTAGATCTTGGTTCGGATGGAGGATTCCGATAACCTTCTTAGTGATAGTGAGGATGATGAGGACAAGAATGATGGTCAGAAGAAAGATGATAAAGGCAAGGGTATCTCCATTTCGGGACCCCGTAAGACGCAAAATTTCAAGAAAAGTGGGGTGAGTTCAAGTTCTTCCAGTGGGGGATTTAGTGTCACCGGCCCGAGGAGAGGTGGAAGATTTGCTGGCGGGCCCAGATTTCAGAGGCAGAGAGATTTTAGTGGTGCTAGTGGTTCTGGTGCCCCGTTGTGCCGTTGTTGTAACTTCAGACATCATGGTGAGTGTAGGAGGAATAGTGGGGCATGCTACACTTATGGACAAATGGGACATCGAGCGGCACAGTGTCCTCAGAGTCAGCAGAGGCCTCAGCAGCCTGTTATGCCACCTCCAGCACCGACTCAGCAGAGCTTTGGTTCAGGCAGTTATGGTCAGACGGGTCGTGGTGGTGCTTACCATTATCAGGGTGATGCTGCTCCCTATGCTACCGGACAGTATCAGTTTTCTCAGGATCCTTATTCTCAGAGTGGGTATTCCCAAGACCCTGGGGGTTATCCTTCCTATTCTTCCATGCCAGCTAGTGGATCTCAGTGGCACCAGGGAGGTCAGCCCCGACGGGGAGAGGTAGCTGCCAATGGTACATGATCATCTAGGCAGTCTAATTAGTCAGGTCAGGGACGTACTTCTCAGGGACGAGGTAACCAAGGCAACAGAGGTCGTGGTGGACGACAGCAGGCTCAGGGACGTGTTAATCATATATCACTGCAAGATGCTCAGAACCATCCAGATTTGATCATGGGTACGTTAAATGTTCTTGGTCATTTTGCTAGAGTTTTGATTGATTGTGGTGCTACGCATTCTGTGATTTCTCATACGTTTGCTCAAATGACTCAACCTCACCCTTCACCTCTAGGATTTGATTTAGAGTTTGCCATGCCTATAGGGGACAAGTGTTATGTTGATAGTGTGTATCTTGGGTGTCCAATGATGGTAGAGGGCGTAGCTATGCTAGCTAATCTTATTCCATTAGATATTGTGGATTTTGATGTAATTCTCGGGGCAGAATGGTTGCATTATCATCGTGCCCATATTGATTGTTACGGAAAATCAGTTACTTTTTATCGCCTTGGACTATCCGAGGTTACTTTTGTGGGGGAAAGAAGTGGGGTGAGACATGGCGTTATTTCTGCCATAAGAGCAAGGAAGTTATTATCGAAGGGTTGCCAAGGATATTTAGCACATGTGGTGTTAAATGATGTTGTTCCTAGCAGTGTAGAAGAAGTTGGTGTGGTCAGGCACTATCCTGATGTATTTCCCGATGATTTGCCGGGATTGCCGCCAGACAGAGATGTGGAATTCTCTATCGATTTGCTCCCAGGTACAGATCCTATATCTTTAACTCCATGTAGAATGGCTCCAGCTGAGTTGAGAGAATTGAAAATTCAGTTACAAGAATTACTTGATAAAGGTTTCATCCAACCTAGTTCGTCACCTTGGGGAGCTCCAGTATTATTTGTGAGAAAGAAAGATGGAACTCTGAGATTATGCATTGATTATAGGCAATTGAACCGGGTAACAATTAAAAACCGTTATCCATTGCCTCGCATCAATGATCTGTTTGATCAGCTGAAAGGTGCGTGTGTATTCTCTAAGATTGATTTGAGATCTGGTTATTATCAGTTGAAGATTAAAGATGAAGATGTACCTAAGACGGCTTTCAGGACCCGTTACGGACATTATGAATTTCTAGTTATGCCATTTGGATTGACTAATGCACCTGCAGCTTTCATGAGGTTAATGAACAAGGTATTCCAGCAATATCTTGATAAATTTGTTATTGTTTTTATTGATGATATTCTGGTATACTCCAAGTCTAAAGCAGATCATATTCGACATCTTAACTTGGTATTAAAGAAATTGAGAACATCAGTTGTATGCCAAGTTCAGTAAATGTCAGTTTTGGTTGATGGAAGTGGCATTTTTGGGGCATGTTGTATCGGCACAAGGAATTCAAGTAAATCCTCAAAAGATAGCAACAGTGGAGAATTGGGAACAATCTCGAACTGTCACTGAGGTACAAAGTTTTCTTGGGTTGGCAGGTTATTATCGACGGTTTGTTCAGGATTTTTCTATGATTGCTTTGCCATTAACGAAGTTAACCAGGAAGGATGTTAAGTTCGAGTGGGATGAGAATTGTGAACGGAGTTTCTAGCAATTGAAATATTGCCTCACTCATGCTCCAGTATTGGTACTTCCTGATGATAGCGGTAACTTTGAGATTTACAGCGACGCATCTTTGAATGGTTTGGGATGTGTTTTGATGCAACATAATAGAGTGATCGCCTATGCTTCTCGACAGTTGAAGAATCATGAAAGAAATTATCCTACTCACGATCTTGAATTGGCAGCCATTGTTTTTGCTTTGAAGATTTGGAGGCATTATCTCTATGGTGAGAAATGTAAGATCTTCACAGATCATAAGAGTCTTCAGTATTTATTTACTCAGCATGATCTTAATCTTCGTCAGCGAAGGTGGATGAAATTGCTAAGTGATTATGACTGCACTATTGAGTATCATCGGGGTCATGCTAATGTGGTAGCTGATGCACTGAGTAGGAAACCTCAAGGTCGTCTCTATGCTTTCTATGCTTGTCGTGTTCCCCTTCTTGCAGAACTGAGGGCAACTGGAGTAAAGTTGGAGTTGGAAGATCGAAGCGAAGCTTTTCTTGCTGGTTTTCAAGTCAGGCCAGTTTTGGTTGATCGTATACTCGAAGCTCATACGGTGGATGAAGAAATTCAAGAAATGGTTCAATTAAGAAATGAAGGGAAAAAGAAAGACCTCAGGATTCGAGAATCGGATGGCATGCTTATGCAGGAGAACAGAATGTATGTGCCGAATAATGAGGAATTAAAGAAAGAAATTTTGGATGAAGCGCATTGTTCAGCTTATGGGATGCATCCAGGAGGAGCCAAGATGTATCATACCATTCGACCATTTTATTATTGGTCGGGTATGAAAAGGGAAATTACAGAGTATGTAAGTAGGTGTATTGTTTGCCAGCAAGTCAAAGTGGAAAGAAAGAAGCCTTTTGGGCGAATGCAGCCACTTCTCGTTCCTCAGTGGAAATGGAAAATATAACTATGGATTTCGTGTATAAGCTTCCTCGTACACGAAATGGATTTGATGGTGTTTGGGTGATTGTGGATCGCCTTACCAAGTCAGCGCATTTCATTCCAGTGAGGGAAAAGTATCCCCTGAATAAATTGGCTAAGTTGTTCATCATGAAGATTGTGAAGTATCATGGAGTTCTAGTGAATATTATTTCTGATCGAGATCCAAGATTTACTTCTAAGTTTTGGGTAGCTTTTCAGGAAGCTCTTGGTACAAAATTGCTTTACAGCACTGCTTATCATCCTCAAACTGATGGTCAATCAGAGAGGACTATTCAGACGTTGGATGATATGTTGAGATCTTCAGTGTTACAGTTTGGGGATTCCTGGCATGACCGTCTAGACTTGATGGAATTTGCCTATAATAATAGTTTTCATTCAAGCATTGGTATGTCGTCGTTCGAGGCACTTTATGGTAGAGCTTGTCGTACACCATTGTGTTGGTCGGAGGTTGGTGAAAGAGTGTTGGAAGGCCCAGAGATTGTAGATGAGACTACTCAGAATATTCAGGTGATTAAGTCTAACCTGAAAGCGGCCCAGGACCGACAGAAGAGCTTAGCGGATAAACATGCCACCGATAGAATATAATGTGGGTGATTTTGTATTTTTGAAATTATCGCCTTGGAGAGGTGTGGTATGTTTTGGAAAGAGAGGAAAGTTAAGTCCCAGGTACATAGGACCTTATGAGATCACTGAGAGGGTCGATGAAGTTGCTTATAGATTGGAGTTGCGTCCGGAGTTATCTAAGGTACATAATGTGTTTCACGTCTCGATGCTTCGACATTATGTTTCCGATCCTTCACATGTGATTCCTCCTCAACCTTTAGAGATTAATCCGGATTTGACGTATGATAAGGAACCAGTGACTATACTGGATTGGAAGGATAAGGTTATAAGGAATAAGACAGTGAGCTTGGTAAAAGTATTGTGGAGGAACCATTCTGTAGAAGAAGCTACTTGGGAAATGGAAGATCGAATGAGAGAGATGTACCCAAGGTTATTCTATGGGTATTAAGCGGATTATTTGGTCGTATGAATTTCGAGGATGAAATTCTATAAGGAGTGGAGATTGTCACAGTCCGTCCCGAGATTTTCATATCAGGGACGTGAAATGACGGAATTACCCTTGAAAGGAATTAAGGTATGTGTGTGTGTGGCATATCTTGTGGGCTAAATACAATTATTTCATAAGATTTTATAAGAAATTATTAAGTTGGATTAAATGAGTTTGTGAATTGTGTGGTTAGGGATGAAGTTGAATGGATGGTGAGGATTGTGTTGGATCACACACACACACTTCCTTCATCTCTCTTCCTCCCTCGTGTCTCTCTCTCTCTTCCCTCACGACTCTCTCTCACTCTCTAACCCTCGAACTGTACAGACGAGACCAAATTCCTTCGAACTTCCACGGATCGAAGCTAAAAAGGTATGGTTCTTCATCCTTTCGTCGTCCTGAGTTGAATGGTGCTAGTTTTAGGACGTGAAACCTTCGAAATCACGTGAAACCCGAACCCCAATTTTATGTCTCTGTTCATACAATCGTGTTATGTTGATTTCCAGGGAATTCTAAGTTCACAGTGAGCTTAGTGAGGTCCTAAGGAAGCTCGGGGACGTTCGTTTGGAAGTTTTGGACGTCGGGATCGTGTAGTTCGAAGTTGGCCGATTTCTTTGAATTTCTTCGGTGAGATTTCGTGATTTTTAGAGCCTTAAAGTAGTGTAACGTGAAACTACATGTTTAGGGCTTCATTTTGATATAAAATACGAAGAAAATGGTTAAGAAATGACGGAGAACAAGGCGTTTGAAAAATGCCCAGAATCTGGCCACTGAAAAAACCAGTCCGGCGACTGGTTGAGGAAGGAGACGCGCGTGGGGACGCGTAGGTCCGTGCCACCCACGGCGCGTGGGGGAGCGTGACAAGCCCAAAATTAATTCTAAAAATTTGTCGACGTCCGTGACGTCGAGTAGGTCACTGTGGTATATTCATATACCCAAATTGAGCACCGTATGAGAAGTTATTTCGAATTATCGGTTATGTGCATTAATTAACGTTTTTATAGTTGTTTCGCATATAGGTGACACCTATCCCGAGGACGAGCGCATCTAGGGACGTCACGGGGGTTACGACCCATCGACTTACCAGTGAGTGGGCAGTTTTGTTTTTCGTATTACCTATATACTATTAATTCTCCCAGAACTTTAATTTATATGAAAGTAAGTTTCAATTGCCATGCATGCATAGTATGAATATTACGGGATGATGTTAATGCATATAGATATGTGTGTGAATTGGTGTTGTGGACGCCCAGGTGAGTTTTATGGAAATTATGTGAATCACTGATAATGTGAATTGTGTTGAGAACTCATAATCTGCACCTTGATGTTAGTGCTCATATTATTCACCGCACCACACGCTCACCTTGGATCCAAGTAGGTGCATGTCGTACAGACCATGTGAGGGTTCCGACATGCTAGTCGTACAGACCACTGAGGTGGTTCCGACTAGTAGGTGACTTTCGATTATATGCGCAGATCATTGATGAGAGGAGCACTAGAGCGTATTATTTTACCATCTTAGTTGTACAGACTACTATATGTAGTTTCGACTTATGTGCAGCGTGGTGCCGTACAGGTCCCAATTGGTGACTCCGGCAGGGCCGTACAGGTCACCGTTGGTGACTCCAGCTGGATGGAATATTAAGCTATGGTATCAGCCGTACAGGACCATTGTAGGGTCTCCGGTTGATTTATTATTTTCACCTGACTTATATTGATGCATTTATATTGTATTTTGGCATGTGGCATGGCATGGCATGGTGTATTCTTGCTGAAAAGCGTTGAAGGATTGTGATTTGAACTTTTGGTGTTATATATAGGACTATATGCTATTTTTCTGGGAAAGTATACAGGTTTTACGGTGAGGGGTTAGACGTGTTTTAAATAAATGTTTTGGAAATATTTGGTTTTACTGACCCACTAAATTTTGTTTTTGCGCCCCTCCAGGTTCTAGCTAGCAGTTGGCGGCTCACGAGGTTCTTTTCGGCATTCTGACAGACACTCTACATGTAGGACTCACCTGCGGGTGTTGTACTTTAATTATAGTCCTACTTGACTGCACCTAGTACCTTCGCTCTGTATTGTGTGTTTACTTTATAACTCGCTCTAGTATGCTAGTTGAATATTTCTGCTAGTAGTTGGTATTAATCTTTCGTAATTCTTATTTCCTTGCTTCCGTATCGCACTTATGGTTACATCACGCTCACGTGGCGGCCAACACGCCCTGATCCCAGGATCGGGGTGTGTCAGTGAAAACCCGTTTTAATACTTGTTCACATCATCATTTAACGTTGGTGACTTAACAAATGTTCACTTTTTAAAATTTTAAGTAATTATTTATAATGTTTTAAGAAGTTTAGACGAATTTAATTCATCCTTACTTCTATGCTTAATATTTTGATATTGTATGTTTTGATCAAGGTTCTAAAAGACGCTCACTAGGTGCTAATTGGGCGGTAGGCTAGGGCCTAGCACTTAGGTGGTTAGGCGGGCGCCTAGGCAGACTAGGCGGATTTAAGTAAATCTATTATATTTCGTGTAAATAAGTGTTTGCTTATACTCAAGATATATATAACTATTAATTACATCATAAACTACAAAATAGAATGACATATATATTACAAAGTATTGGAACATAATGAAAACATGGGGGACAAGGATATAATGTGTGTTCATTTATGGAAAAAATAAATAAAATGCAAAATGAATGTTAACTATTTTTTATTTAAGTGAGTCGTGACCTAGGCAGGTCTGAGCGGGCTAGGCAGATACCTAGGTTGTTTAGGCGGGCACCTCAGCAGGTCTAGGCGTTCTTTCAAACGCCTAGGCATTAATCGAGATGGTGGTCAGCTACCTAACGCCTAAGCAGGACCTAGGTGGTGCTAAGCATGAATTTTTAGAATAGTGATTTTGGTTAGTTTAATATAAAAGATTTCTAGCGGTGAAAGAAAGCCATAGCCTAATTTGAGCCTTAAAAATGTGGTAGCTAGGTCACTGTCCACTTCGATATGGATTGGATTCGATTTGAAAGGAATTGATATGGTCTCCAGCTCGTATTGTCCGATGAAAACAAATGCTGTTCCTCTAGTTTTTTGCCACAATATAGAGCAATTTTGGTATCCCCTCCCTCCATATATGGTGACAATATCTTATCCTCACTAGCATCCAGAAGCATTTGGACACGTGCTAAATGCTTTAGAGAATTTTGGCTGATCATTCAAGAAACTCAGGATCGAATAAAGAAGAGCAACTTATATAGAATGGATTCAGTGTTACGTGACTTTCCAATTCAATAGTACATTGCCATGTGGAGAAAAATTGCACATGACAATGTATTATTGAATAAAAGACGCGACTTATATAGAACGGATTCAATGTTACGTACGTGGCTTCCCAATCTAATAGTACATTGCTATGTGCAAAAAAATTGCACATAACAATATATTATTGAATAAAAACGCTATGTGACGGTAAATCCATTTCATTTAAGTCTTTCTTCCAATGGAGATATGGATTGGCTATGGAGATATAAAGCAAACAAAAAGCTAAGATTATCATAGAAGGTGGGATAGGAGGAATGTCAAACAGGAATTAAATTTGTATCTGCATTGACCCCTAGCCTTAATGAATCAGATCAAAGATAAGGTTTCGATGCCTAGCTATAAGGTCCTTAAGCTTCTTTCATTTATTCTTTTTTGTTAAAGATAAGCCTAATTGCTTGTCAAGGTTCGTAAGGGACAAGTCTCTCTCTCTTTTGTTTATGGTGACAAAAATTCCAAGTTGTAAGGAACGTGACTTCCAACACTTCTTTTCTCCGCATTGATACCTCTGGTTTTTTTTTTTTTTCCTGATATTGGAATTGAATTTATTAAAAGAAAATTAAGTGAAAAAAAATAGAAAAAATGTACATAAGGAAGTAAAAAAAAAGGCATGCGAAAAACGTTTTCCTTACACAAATTGCTTTAATTAGTTAGGACCTTTTTTAATAAAGTATCGCTTTTGTTGTGGGAAATTCACCTTGGATTAGAGAGATTTTTCAGTGTGACCGTCACACAAGATGGTACATTACGTATCCTTATATAAATGGTGGATTATATGTGTTAAAAGGTTAATAACTTAAAAATTAAAATTTTCCACCACTTGCATAAAAACACGTGGTGTACCATCCGCATTCCCGTCACAACTAAAAATTTCTCCTTGGATTGGTGCATTGCATTAGCTAATTTTATTTTATTTAATTAGGAAGAGATCATGAAGATCTTAGGAAGCAGGAGGATCTAACTTTTTTTTACCACCAAAGGTCAAGTGCCAAGATCCGCATACCCCACCGCGATAGACTAATCACTATAATGCTCAATTTTCACCACATAACCTTTGTGTTTATTTGTGGCTTGAAGATCTATAAAAGGGCTTCTAAGCCAATCCTTTCTTCAACAAATAAGGCAAAGCCAATAAGCAAGGAGTTGGAGTTCAATTGAATCTCTTATTACAGGGCAGTGATTGCTCACTCTCCCTCAAGAGCTTCTCAGCTTAAGGCAATATGTTATACCAAGATCCTTAGTTTGAGGGGGATATTTGGTATATTTTAGGCTGTGGAGCTCGTGGGGGAGAACGACCAAGCTTTTGCCTTGATTTGTAGCAGGCTCTAAATTTCATCGATGGACAAATAGACCCCAAGGCATTTTTGTTGCTCACTCTCCCTCAAGGGCTTCGACCAATGTCAGACATGACGAGCTCGAAGACTTGGGGAGAGTGAATAAAAAGTGTCTTGATTAGTATATGGCAATGACATTTGATGGTGGTTATCAATGATCATGCATCGAAGCTCAGATGTTTTTGAAATGGTGGTTAGTGATCTTACTGTTATCATTTCTGGCTCAGGTAAATTTTAGAAAATATCATGTTCACACACACATACACCCACATGACATGCATCATACATATATGGAAACAATTTGAGCTCGTTGGAAAATATCAACTTTGACTAGAACAATGAACTAAATGAACTATATAAGTTATCATATGAGTGGGCAAGAACTCAACGCTAATTATCGATGAGTTTGCTTTCCATGTCTGTTATTTCCTATGCTATACATGTTCCAGTTGGTGAACTATATATACGTCCCCCCCTCTTTTTCGTTATCTGCAACTTTGGGCTCCATCGAATTGCATGTGAACGGAAGAAGAACAAAGGAGGAGAAAACTGTTTTTGCATGTCAGAAACAAAAAAAAAAAAAAAAAAAAAAAAAGAAGAACAAAGGAGGAGGAGGAGACTGTTTTTTATAGAAAGAGACGAGTACTGTTAGGGTGATCAAGTACAGGAGTATTTATCTTCTTACATAACCGAAGAACTTACTCTTTCACTCTAATAATCATATTAACTAGGGTTGTTTTTAGTTATATTCTTTGTACTCTACAGAAAATCTCACTTGACCTTCTACAATCTATTATATCTCATTTTACCCTTTATAGTCTTCTTTTGTGTCTTGCTTTATCCCATTTCATCAACTAAGTTGAAGGAAGCGTTATGTTCCGTTGATGTGGCATTAATTCTTTACTCTTTTCAACTCGTCTTCACATTTTGGACTTTTGAAAACCGCAAAATAATCCTAGGATGCAAAACAACAAACTAAAAGCCCAGCCAAATTTACCCCAAATTCTTTCCCTGACCCTAAGCGGCTTAATTTCCCCAAATCTTCATTAAAACTCCCAATTTCTTTAATATGTTCCTGTATCCAGTGTTGAAACGACCAAAGAGCTTATGCCATGTCAATAAACCTTATGTTTTTCTCAACTCAGTTGACGAAATATGGTAAAGTGGGACGCAATAGAATAGCACAAGAGGTAAAGTGAGACATAATAGAGTGTAAAGGGTCAAGTGAGTTTTTGTGTAGAGTACAAGGGCATAGCTAAAACTAAGTATGAACTAAACCTAAAATCGATATTGTCACTAATATGTTTCCTATTGGACATATTATTGAGGATTTTAAAGCTTTGTTGCTGAGGATCACTGAGGCTTCCTATACTCACGTACGTCGTCAAGCAATAAAGTAGTCCATCGCCTAACCTGCTATGCATGCACTTACTGTTGTTAGTCCTTATCTCTGGTTAGATACCCCTGCTGGCTTTATCTCCGATGTACTACTGGAGGATGATCATTCATTGTAATTTAACTTACTCTTTTGTTCTCCTTTGGGTTTTTCCCCTTTTTGCAATGCAATGCTATCGTTTTCATAAATAAATTAATATATATATATATATATATAACCCTATAATCACATGACACTTGTCACAATTCCATCCTTTGATGCTTTTACTAACATCCCCTCAAGTTCATGATTAGAGCATTGATGCATGAGATTGTGACAATGTGTTTGAAAAACGAATGTACTAATAATCCTTCGTAAGAATATCAGCTGTTCAGTTTGGAAGAGACAATTGAACATAAAGATGCTTCTAAATGCACGACAAAATTTATACATAATTAGTATATGGCAGTGACATCCAATCCCAGAGGCTTTGAATTTGCTTATGGAAAGGTGAGTAATATGCTTATCACTTTTTTTCACATCCAGCTAGCCGATCAGGTTACTGCATAATTATCATGATCATAAAAAGTATATATGCATGTATGGAATCCATTTTTAATTTTATTAAATATCTGTTAGCTACATATAGGAATCAATTCACTTCCAGAACCAACAATTTCTTAATTATTTTTGTCAATATTTGGAGAGAATGTTTGAGTACGTACTCTAATTAAACACCACACATATACGTATATGCCATTTATATACACACGTTCATGAGAAGTATCCATAACTTGCTTGACTACGTACCCTAAGATTCAGCATTACACACGTTGCCAAGAGATGAGTCGAAGGGGGAGGCTGGCTTTTGCCTCTTCGTTTTACATCCAGGTTTCCCGCTGCATATGTAATTTGGCTTGGTACATTTTTACATGTATGGAATCTTTTCACTACAAGTCAAAGTGAACTGAATATATTTGGTATTTCTATGAATTTCATTCATGAACTACCCACTTTCAAATTTCTAGTGAGGGAAGATATGCTTTTTCTTTGAGTAATTGAATTTTTTTGTTTCCCAAAAGGAGTTAGTGATGGTAATATATGTGAAATGAAATTAGTCATTTAGTAGTTAATTAGGATAAACATATATACAGTTGTAAAATGAAGGTGGACTAATGGAAATTTTTTGTATGATATTAAAATACAGACACTTGCATGTATAATTGATTCATGTATTATAACATAAATAGACACAAATGAGAAAAGGAATAGACCAGATAGCTTAAAAATAGAAGTAAGAAAAATGAATCATATCAACTAGTCCACCCCCCCCCCCGGGGGATCTGATTTCTTACTTTTAAGTATTTAATTAGGAATTTAAAGAAAAAAAATTGCACCCTTTAGATTCTTTACATGTAAACGTAGTGAAATTAAGAATCAAAATAATTCTTATTCATACTCTTTGTAAGTAAACATGCATATCCTTAATAACCAAACACGTAATAGAATAATATGAATCTATGCTTAAACCACGTTGGATTTCAAAACCAGAAAATAATTAATCGGGCTAATGACAACAAAGGAAGCTAGGGTATTGTATACTGATATGTGCATGTGAATATGTGAAAGAGTCAAGAGTGAAGTGTGAAGTGGTACATGCACTGATGCACATGAAAAATGTCAGGGTCTCTCAAACTTTGTTGAAAAGTAGAAGTGGTACCACCACATCTGCCATGCCCCTTTTATTACCTTAACTAAATAGAGCAGCTGCAGCTGCGACTCCAGGGCCACCATTTCCTGTTCCTGCTCAAATTATAGGAGGAAGGAATCTCTCTTCTTTCCTCTCTTATTGGCATGTATTTCTTCTTTTCTTTTCTTTTCTTATATGTGGTGATCACTTGTTTGGCCTTGTTTCATAAACTCATAGTCTTATATACACTTGGCCTCTCTTCTTAAACCCAAAAAAGCCCATGTTAATGCAGACTAAAACGAGTTTAATCGTCATTAAAGCGCTATATTTGAGACATGGTATGGGGTGTAAATCTTATATAGGTCATGAGAGGATGAACTAGGGAAGAAGCTGAACCCTTATGGCATTATCATCAATAAACGTGATTGGAAGGGAATTCTATTGCATTTTCTTTTAATTCATAAATATAACTTAGTTAGAGATTTACAGTTCAAGTGGTTAACATGCATCCGATGTTATGTTAAGTTGTATTCTCAGTATCCCTTGAAACACCAAAAATTAAATATAAATATATAAAAACGCTTATTTTATCATTATAAAGAGAAAAACTCTTACGTGTAAACTTATGAATGGAACCTAGTATGCTAGTTCTAGAACTTAAATTAGTGGACTACGTAGCATCTCAAACTTTCATATGCATATCAAAAACCATACAACTCTCACTGGATAAAAAGCCAGAAACCAACGAAAACGAGCTCTATTTTGGCCGGTCTCAGTCTACCAAATCTTGATTTAAACAGTTAACTCAATTAAAAGAATGGTTTAAGAAGGTGAGAACTCACTGGATCCGAGAGAGAGAGAGAGAGTCAATTCTCACAACTCCAAAAGTACAATTCTCAAACAAATCTTCCTAGATTTTTACCAGCAATATTACTATTTAATTATTTTAGTTAACCCATAATCACACCCCAATTAACATACAGCCACAGAAGCTCCCGTACTAACTCATTTCCTGTTCGCACTCTCTAAACTTGATCTTCTCTTTCTGCTACATTAAGCAAGCTCTTGATTTTTCTCCACTAGTCTCACTTCTTTTGCAGATCTAAGCACACTGGCCTGACAAAAACAACACAGAAAAACAAAAGTTAAATCAGACCCAGAACAGAAATACACAAACACTAATCAACAATTAATGGCGCATTATTAATTTTACAAATTAACCAGACCTGGTCCTCAGTAATTTCCACAGAAAACCCATCAACAATGACGAGAGACAATGTCTTCTTGTAGCTTCCTGGGTCAAGGGTTCTTGCCAACAACTGGTCATGCTTCCGGCTTAGGAATAAATCTAGCTCATTTGCTCCTCTCTTTGTTCTATATATATAAACAGATAATTAGCATAACTTATTTGTATGATGAAAAATATACAATGAAATGAGTGGTAAAGATAAGTTTATAGTACTAACCGATCAGCTCGAAGGCGTTGGTACTGAGGATCATAGTTCATGAAAACAAAATATGACTCGCTTTTTGTACCTTCCATTTGCTTCTAGTCTGTCTTTCTAGAGAGTTTGTTCTTCTACTAGGGTTATATATTGACTCGTATACGATACAATATGGCCTTCAGCTACTTCTGAATGATATGGTTATTTATACATGAAGTCTGACATTTTCTTTTTCATTTGGGATGCCCAAGTGTACTTCTAAGATAAAATTATTGGGTAACTATTATTGTGCGAATGGTGAAACTTCAACTTCTTCTAATATATTTTCAGTTATTTTATATGTTTTAAACGAGTCTCATAATCTCATGGATCCCTGTTATTTGAAAGTGATACAAAAAATGGTTTGGGAAAACAGTACATTTGGAAAAAAATGGGGAAGAAATTGATATATATCTACAGTATCTATTGGCAGACTGCATGCCTTAGCAAGTAATGGGAATCCTTCTATGGCTACATCAAAGGAAATGCTATCATTCACACTTGGAAATTTCTCACCTAGTGTTTGAAAAAACGTTTTTGAAATGTCGGCCACACGCTTGCGGGATAAAAGTCAACACTTTTTTTTTATTACTAAACAAGTTTTTTGGCAGAACATTTGCAAACCGTATATTTTATATTTATATACAGTGTTAGTTAGCAATTAGTAGTGTAGACTAGCACGAAGCTGAAAGGCAGTACCTGTTCATTTTTAAGAATTTAGAAATCGATTCATGACATAGAATAAAGATTAAAGAGAGAATCACTAAACCAACTTAGTCTACCACTGACTTATTCGTATTAATATAGCCTGACTTGGAAGTCAAAGATCCATATAGTAAGTAATCACAATTGAATATACAATCCATTATCTGTTCAAAAGAAAAAAGAACTTTTGTTCACCTATTGGATACCAAGTTCCCCAAATGTATGCTACAGTATTTTAATCCATCAATTAATTATTGTGCTTTTGTGTGTATATGCACGTGCGCCTCATGTTTGTGTGTATAATTGTTCTTTGATCTCATTTTATCTTTTATGAAATTGGATTTGTCTCACCCTATTTAAGTCCACGGTGGCAGAAATTTGAGAGTTTTAGAGGTTTAGGGAAGTTTGAAAATTTCATACCTTGCAACAACAATGGCTCATCTCTGCCATCATGGTATGAAATGTCCAAACCCTTTTAGTTAAAGTTTATGGACAAAATTCACATAAATGGGGTAAAATAGCTCGATTTTGGCAATTCCAGAGAACAAAGCGAGATAAACCCAGTTGTAGAATGTAAAGTGAGACCTTGAGACATTTTTAGGGGCAAATCGATAAATAAGCCTAAAATTATATGTACAAGCAAAGATCAAATCCTTGAATGCTACGCCATCAAATCCTAAATGCAACACTTTCTTTAAAGTTAAAACTCTAGTCGCAATTAACCTAAGTGCAGAATCGTAAAATATAGAAAATTGATACAAAACGAACAACTTAATTTGACAAGAAAAGGAGTTGGGTGCAACTATATATTGAAAGATTAACTAATTAAGTACTAAACCAACATATAATAATGAATATGAACGGAAAAAAAGGACCTCATATCTTAGGCTATATTTGGATGAGGAATTTTCAAGTGTCGAAGAGTTGAGGTCAAGTTAGAAAGGAATTGATCATAAAATTATAGAAGGAAGTATGTACACTAGTCAAGTGGTGATAAAAGAGGAATAAAATGAGGTTATGGGATTCTAGTTGCTACATAACCAACATAAATATAACGATGCGTCGTGGGAGTTAATAGCGGCAAAATGGCAAAACGAAAAAAACCTAAAAGCGGCATTTTGTAATGGTCATGGAGGTCTATTCTTATCTCTTATAACTAATTTTTAGTTGGAACTCAACTCACCCTAACATAACTTTACGGTATTGTTCTTGAAAAATACCGCTACTAATATGCCAAACAGTGTGCATTGTATTTACACATTATCTAGCTGGTATGAGGCGGTAATAGATAAGACAGAGTAATGTAAAATATGTATATTTTTAATGAACGAGCTATAGGGATCGGTTTTCGAAGTCATGCATGTCACAGATGCCAAGCAGAACATGCGCAGATTTAGCTTCCATGTGATCGATGATGTGTGTTGGAATTGGTCAAGTCAAGAGTGTGAAGTGCAAAGGATTCTCATTAAGATATATCGTTTTTTCTCTTATTATTATTCTAAGTTAACATTAAGATAAGGAAATAGGGTTTGAAACAATCAAAGAAAAAAACAAAAAAAAACTAGAGAGAAGAACTATTCACTCGAACAATTCACCACCACTTCATGGTTTTTTGGTTACAAATATAAGTGTTGATGCTTTCATTATATCCATTGTCACTCATCACCTTCATTACCACTGATCTTGTATTGTTCTTCTCCGTCTAATTTAGATATTTGACGATTATTCTGTAGCATAATTAATTTCGTTGATTGTTTTACTTTCTTATTGTATCCCTTAATTGTATCATTGAGTAAATAACTGAATTCCACTAACCATTCTGCATTTTAGAGTTAGCATGGTACCAGAACCACATTTCATGTCCTTACAGGTCCCACATTTTAGTACATTTCACTTTTAATGGTCAAGATTGCGTTGAGCTATTGACAAAAAACATACAAAAAGAAAAAAAAATTATTTCGGTAAATAAAGGTGCAAGTTAAGAAATGTTTTGACGCAATTGGCTCTCTACCACAGTAGTGGAGAGAAGTGTAGCCCTTGCACTACGGCGTGGGTTCAAATCTCATTGTGCTTATAGATTGAACAACAAACTCTCTGGGAATTTATTTTCTTTGTCATTAAATACCCTAACAAAAACTTGAATGTCTGTGTGTTGTCGATCATAAGATTGTGAGGTTATATATACTTATTTTTCTGATTCATGCTAGCCATTTCTCAATTTCCTCCCAATTGGAAAGAATACATTTAAGTATTGTTTATGTCAATTGCGATCTGGTACTGCATGCATATACGATCGGTAGTGATGAAAAAAAATTATAGTGTTCTAAAAGAACTTCGATTGGTCTTAAATTTTTCAAAAGAAAAGATAAAGCACTACTTTGACCACCAAAATATAAAAGAACTTCACTGATGAAAGAAGTTGAATTACTATGGCTGTACCACCATATTCCCACCAACAGTACTAGGAGAATTCCTGAATCAGAAAATTTTGTTAGATTCAATTATCATTAAAAACGAATTTAAACTGCGATAGTGATAGTTTATTGTGAGATTTAGCCTATTTCACCACCCCTTTAATATAGAGAATAACATTTGTCCAAAAAAAAAAAAGTACTAATGCAATTTAGTCAACATTTAAAATGTCATCTTAACCGTTCAAATAAAGTTAATCTAATGATTAAAAGAATGTGTAAAAGTAAGTGTTAAAAAATTTGTCCCTTCATCCCAACTCTATATATATATATATTATTCTGGGGCAATGCAAGTGGGGCAAATGCCACGTACATGAACGTACGTACATGAATAATATCACAGCAACTGCTCATATTCTGCCAGAAGCGGTACGTGAAAACTGCAAGATGAAGGGGTCACCACCAAACGAACGACCTCCATGTGCCAACCATAGAGCGTGTAACAGGGTGAGTAGGCGGGGCACCATTTTGAGATTCCTCAGCACAGAAAGAGAGAGAATGGGAGGTACACAGAGTCGAGGGCATAAATCCGCGAGATTTTGTATAATGCTTCGAAGTATCTCTATATTGTTTTGAAGTACCTTACAATTTTTACGATCTGCAATATATATGTGATGGAGCGTGAACTGATGGAGACAGAGAGTCCTACTATACTAACTCGTGTGTTTGCTGTCAGTCACATGGTGTGGTGGTGACTGGTGTCAGGTGAGTGGTCCTTTCCTAACCTCTGATCATCGATAGACTTTTCTGGTCCAAGACCCAGACCAACCCACACGTGAGGTAGATGGAATGCATGAGTTGTGTTTTAATTTGAATTTGAATTTTGCAAGCATCAACAACATTGCGTGAACGACAGACTACCAATTTATATTTATATTTGCAAAGCACATCTTTATTTATAAACTTATACCTTCATACATAATCCAACAGGACCAACACCTTAATTTGTAACTAATATTGTAGAGGAAGTTCCTAGAAAGGAGAGGTGTGGTGCTCTGTCGTCGAGAGAGGTTTGACGTCGGTCTGTCGTCTGAGATTGGACAAGTTAGGTTTTTAGCTCGAAATGTTTGGTCGCGACTCCGGTGACTTTGCTCGGCCCTCGCGGTTTGTAGGGGAGGCCGTGAGTGAAGAAGCTCCTCTGGCGGCTAATGGGTAGTTTGCCTCGTTGAGGAGATCTGGATATGGTGGAGATCTGAGAGTAGATCTGGTGTCTGTGGAAGGCGTTAGAGGAGGTGGCCACTTGGGGGTGAGGGGGTGTGACTGGGGTGCGGCTCTTCTGATCTGCCATGGCTGGGGGAAGTCCGAGGGTAGATCTGGAGGAGCTGGGGTTACGATTTGGGACCAACCTTATCCTGTCCGAGAAAGAACAGGGAGGCGTATGCATTGAGAGAAAGGATGTCGAAGGTGCATTGTTGCGGTTTCAATACACTTTGATTGCAAAAGTTCTCACCGCCAAGGAGGTGAAAGGCGACGTTTTCGTTGACTGCTTTATGTCTCTCTGGCGCGGGCCTGAGGGGGTCTCGATTAGGGAGATTGGAGATCGGAGGTTCCTCGCTCGATTTGCGGGACAATGGGATCTACAACGGGTGGTCGATGCCGACCTGCCTTGGATGTTCAAAAATGACCTTGTAATGGTGGCGGATCGAACGGAGAAGGGGCTGAACAGATGGACCCCTCTCTCCCTAGGGGTGTTTTGGGTCCAGTTGCATAATGTCCCGGTGCTCAGTATGACTCAAGCGGTAGCTGAATCAATAGGTGGTTTGATGGGTACGGTTCGATTGGTGGACAAAACTGGGAGTCGTGATTGCATTGGACGATTCCTTCGGGTGAAAATTGGATTCAATGTTCGTGAACCCCTAATGAGAGGGACCTTTGTGACCTTCCCTGATGAAGGCAAGATCTGGATTGATTTTAAGTATGAATCGTTTCCTAACTACTGCCTCATTTGTGGAATGTTAGGACACCCTACTAGGATCTGCAAGGAAAGCCTGGATGATAGAACAGGTGCTGAGGAATGCCCAGAGATGAGGAAAGAGGCCTTTGCGTTCTGTGGGT